TCAGAGTGTTCCATCTCATTTCCCTTTGGGGTTGCTGTAGGTGATCTGGAAGTCTGGTTTTGAGACTTATTTACATGTTTTCTCATTTCGACTGGGAGGGCTGTTGGCATCTGCATGGATTACCTCCTCTGAGCTGGGAGAGGTGGGCCAGGGGCCGGGAGCAGCGGTAGGGATGGTGGCCCAAAAGCCCTTTCCTGTAGGCTGGGAGCAGTGGGAGGGATGGTGGCTGGGAAGCCCCTTCCTCTGGTCCAGGAGCAGTGAGATGGCGGCTCAGAAGTCCCTACCTCTGGGCCGGGAGCAATGGGACTCAGCACCATGGTCTGGTGGTCTGGTGTCCTCTGTGTCTTTGTAGTGTGGAACCAGGTGGCTCTATAGAGGAGCGGGGCAGGGGGGTCCAGTGGATTGTTGCCAGGGCACCAGGCTTTTACTTTCTATTCTGTATTGACGGAAAACTTTTCAAAAAGAGTTTGTATTAATAAATGACTTGTTAATTTAAAGCTGTTTACTACTACATTCTTTTTTTTTTTTTTTGAGGCAAGGCCTCACTATGTAGTTCAGATTGGTCTCCAACTCTCAGTGATCCTCCTGCCTCAGCCTCCTTAGTGCTGGGATCACAGGCATGCGCTACCATGCCTGGCCTATTACTACATTCTTTACAGTTTTCTTGCATTTTTCTTTCTTCCATTTTTTCTTTCTTTCTTTCTTTCTTTCTTTCTTTCTTTCTTTCTTTCTTTCTTTCTTTCTTTCTTTCTTTCTTTCTTTCTTTCTTTTTCTTTTCTGTGCTGGGGATCCAACCCAGAGCCTTGCTCATACTGAGCCTGTACTCTACCACTGAGTTACATCCTAGCCCCAGAATATCAATATTTTATAATTGAAAAACAAGCCTAATTCTCTAAAATCAACATAGTATAGGGTACCTGCATACCCATGTTCATTGTAGTATAATTCACAATAGCCAAGTTAAGGAACCAGCCTGGAAGCCCATCAACAGATGAATGGATAAACAAAATGTGATATGTACATTCTGTCATTTAAAGGAAAATGGATAGAATAAAGTGAATTATGTTGAGTGAAATAAGGCAAACTTGGAAAGACAAATACATGTTGCCCCTAATATGTGGAATCTAAAAAAGATGATATGAAAATAGAAGGGAGACTATTATTAGACAAGAGGAAAGAAGGAAGGTGGGAGTGTAAGAGATGGATATGATCAAAATATATGAATTGAAACCCAATATTTTATAAAATTAATAGGCACTGATAATAAAAGAAAAAAGAAAAACAAGTCTAAGTCTCAAGTTCTTTGTCATATAATCAGGTCATGGTGACTGATGGTTAAAGGTAGCACCCAGGAAAAGGAAACACACAGTTACATTTATTAGAAAGAAGTCCACTTTCTTTCTCTTATCAAGAGGTTTTCAGACTTTTTTTGGGGAGGGATTAGGGATGGAACTTAGGGCCATGCATGCTAGGCAAGTGCTGTACCACTGAGCTATCCCCCCGCCCTGCAGTGTTCTCCAAAGCTTATAAAGGAAAGGCTTAAAATTAGTCAAGAATTTGTATTAATGCCTATCTAATATGCTATTGATTATAAAAGTAAAGACTTTTTAAAAAATGAGAATTGACTAGCCACGTGTGGTGGCTCATGCCTATAATCCCAGCACTCAGGAGGCTGGGGTAGGAGGATCACATAAGTTCAAGGCCAGCTTCGCCTACATACATTGCTCTTTTCATCAGGTGAGCAATTTTAATAGCAGAGCATTTAACACAAAACCTGAGCATAAAAACTCAAAAATGGTAGCTATCATTAAATATCAGTGATTAAGTAACTTGTCAGAGTCATTCAGCTGGTGACTAAAGAAGCTGAGTTTTTTGTAAACTAACCAGTCAGACTTTAACTCCAATCACCATAACCATTGCTCTATATGACTAAATCCTTCAGGCTTAGGGAACTAAGATCGGGTTCCATATCTACTAGCCACTAATTCATTAAAGCAAATTACCTCTTATTTAAGAAATGAATTTTAAAGCAACACAGGTCAAAATTGGTGTAAGATTCATGGGAGAAACATATTCTTATCAGCTCCATGTCATTCTTAGTCAATTCTCATTTTGTTCTTGTTTAGCTCACTATGTACCCCAGGCTGGCCTTGAACTTGACGTGATCCTCCTGCCTCAGCCTCCTAAGTGCTGGGATTACAGATGTACACCCCAATACTCACTGCAAATTGTGAAATTTTTAATTAAAAAAATAGTCTGGGCTGGGGATGTAGCTCAGTGATGGAGCCCTTGCCTAGTATGTGCAAGACCTTGAGTTCCATCCCATGTCAAAAAGCTAAAAAGTGAAAAGGAGCTTTATAGTAAATACTTTATAAATTATAACACAACAATTCAGGGACTATCAGTCTTGAATAATAAATGATGGCTAAGCATCTTTGGAGAATCCAGAAATATGAACACATATTTTATATAGTTGAAGAAATGAGGCTATTTTTGATATTTAAAGGTTGTCTTAGTTACTGTCCTGTCCCTGGGACAAAATATCAGATACCTGCAACTTAAAAGGAAGAGAGGTTTATGTTGGCTCACAGTTTCAGTTCATGATCAGCTGGGTCAGGGATTTAGCTCAGTGGTTCCACTGCCTGCCTTGTAAGTGCAAGGTCCAGAGTTCGAGCCCTGGTACCAAAAATAAAAAATAAAAAAAGTAAAAAAATAAAAACAAGACAACCAGGGCCAGGGATTTAGTGCAGTGTTTCCACCGCCTGCCTCTCAAGGGCAAGGTCCTGAGTTTGATCCCAGATACCAAAAACAAAGTTCATGATCAGCCAACTCCAAGGCAGAAACAGGATGGCAGAGGGGTATGGTGGAGGAAAAGCTGCTCAGCTCATGGCAGCCAGGCAGCAGAGAGGGAAAGGAGTCGGGAGCAATGATATACCTTTCAAGGCTGTGCGCCTAAGTGACCCAGCTGTAACCATGCCTCACCTCCTCACAGAGAGTCCAATATGAACTCATCTTAGACCAAAATATATTGAGCTCATAAGTATTTTGGGCCAACATTTAAAAACAGTAGCAAGGTAAATGACTACTATAGCCCTATGTAATAATACATGCTATTATTGGAATAGGAGCCTTTATTGAGCCTCCCTGAATTTTGTTATTGAATAAATTATTTCATATAGTTAAAAAGTCAAGATAGAAATGTAAAGATCAAAATAAAAACTTGGGTTACTTGTGGCTGATTTGGGGAAAACCAATGCCCAATTTCTTTCTTTGTGCCATTTAAGTTCTCAGTAATTTAAACACTGATTTTTGTTTTAGGTTGAACAAATCCTGGCAGAATTTAAGATCAGGGCCCTGGAATGTCACCCTGACAAGCATCCTGAAAACTCCAAAGCTGGTAAGAATTTTTTTGTTGTTGTTCTGGGAATTGAACTCAGGACCTTCCACTTGCAAGGTAGGCACGGTGCCAGTGAGCTAAATCCCCAGGCCCCATCTGGTAAGAATTTAATAGTGGTCATTTCTCAAGAAAATGAATAACACATAGACAAAAAAGTTTTGGACAGTAACTTAATTTTCTTTCATTTGTTATGCTCAAAGCTATTCTTTCATTCAATGTCAAATTTTGTTTCTGCTACTAGATGGTAGGAAAGGAGAGGACTGTGAAAGACCTTTTTTTTTTGTACCGGGATCAAACTTGGAAACTTGCACTTGCAAGGCAGGCGCCAGAACCACTGAGCTAAATTCCCTGCCCCAAGATCTTTTTTACTTTTTAAAATTTTTATTTATTTATTTTTGGTACCAGGGATTGAACTTGGGTCCTTGTGCTTGCGCAACAGGTGGCAAAACCACAGAGCTAAATCCCTGGCCCCATTTATTTATTTTTTTGAGACAGAGTCTTTCCCTTTAGCCCAGGCTGGCCTTGAACTTGTGATGATCCTCCCGCCTCAGCCTCCTGAGTGCTGGGATTACAGGTGTGTGCCATCACACCTGGTGAATGACATTTTTTAATAGCAGTCTTTTTTTTCCCCATTAAGTTTATTGCTACATTTTAGGTATAAAATACAGTTCCATTCATCATTGGGATCTTGTACCTTTACATGAATATCTTGGTTCTTAATTTTTTCCCCTTCCCCTGCCCTCCCTTCACCCCCTCCACCCTTCCCTATTTGCAAAGACCTTGTTTACATTTTTTTCCTTTTCTCATATTTTTTC